CCCGTGAAAGCGGACCCCCTTTCTTGTAAGCAGCCAACATCCTGTCAAGTGGTGACGGCAAGGTTTGACGGACCCTCCCTTTGCCCCAGCCCGCATCCCCCCCATGTTCAATTGCCCCAGCTCTGGGCTCCGAAGGTGTAAAAGAACAAGCGGACTGCAAGTGTGACTTTTGTTGGGCCTCTTTATTTAGAACCTGGCAGAGGAGGAGCCCTGGGCAGTTGGTATGGGCAGCAAAGGAACCATTTCGACAGTCTGGTCACCAAGTTTAAGAGCAGTCTAATAAAGCGGGGGGACACTGTAATCTAACTGGAGATGAGCGTGTGGGGGCTTTTACACGACAGCCATCCCCTAGAGTCTAATATAAAAGGAGATTTACATTTGTGGGCAATCTGACGCTGGTGATTTCTAGTGCCTTTGGTAATAATCAATAACCCAGCAGTTGCGCGGCAAAGAGATCCACGCATGGATAAATACAAATATTAAGTTAGCATAATTTTTTTAACTTTTTGTACAAATATACATGTTTTTTTTTCCTTTTTCTCATCTTTTTCCTTCGTCCTACGTTTTCTAGTTTCTCTTTTTTATTTTGCACTGAGAGCGAGTAGAGAGATTAAACATTTTACATAAATGATTTAAAGCTTTACACCTTGGGACCAGCGTACTCCTTGCACTTGGCACAGAGTATTCTCAACACATTGCACAGTTTTCAGATTTCCACATAACCGTGGGCCGCTCTGCGCGGCCGTCTCCGGTTCCTGCTACATGAACGAAAGGTCCCAGACGAAGCCCAGAGTTCTTCCATCTTCCGCTGCCCAGGTGCCCAGCAAGTTCTCTGTGGCCGTTAGGCTCTAGACTGCGGGGGGAGGGACTCAGGTGAGCACACACACGCGGTGAGAACCCCCCACACACACCAGGGGCGGTCCCTCCGCGACCCTCATGGCGGGGGGTGGGGGGAGGGATGTCGCCGGACTCACCTAACTCATCGCAGACGTTTGCGCGGGGTCTGCTCCACCGCGCCCACCCCAGGAGCCACGGTAGGAGAGGGACACCCCGCGGGGACGTCGTTGGACGCCTTGTTCTCCTGCGCTGATCTCTTGCGCTTGGCGAAGAAGTCTGCGGGGCGACAAGCGCGCGCGCCGGTCAGGGCGGGGCCGGCCCCGGGGAGCCGGCGAGGGGACCCGCGGGGCGAGCGGGGCGCGGGGCCGGGGTGGGGGCGCCGTCCCCGCCCGCGCCGAGGTCCGCGGCGGGTCAGCTTTGTTTACGTCGCCGCGCAATGTGCTGTGTAAGCATTTCCCCTTGTCCCGCGGCCAAGCCCCCCGGGGCCGCCGCCGCCGCCGCCGCCGCACTTAACCCCCTCCACGCCGCGCACGCGGCGCCCCCAAGGGGGCTCCCGCGGGCCCGAGCCAAAGACCGCGAGCCAAGTGGGTCGCGGCCAGGCTCACCCTCCCACTGCGCGCTCGGGAGCCTTGGGGCTGCACCCCTTACCGGTAGGAGAGGGGTGCGGGCGCCAACCGCGCCCTAAGCGCCGCGGGCCCTTTAACGCCACGGGAGGAGGCGGGGACCGGGCGAGGCCCCCGAGGGCGAGGGAGAGCCCGGCCGGCCGGACAAAGCGAGGCCGGGCCGGGGCGGGGCCGTGCGGGGCTCACCGGAGATGAGAGGCCCCGACAGCTTCTTGATCGCACCGTTCGCAGTGGCCGCAGCAGTCCCGGCCGCGGGGCGTCCCGGAGTCCCCGACAGAGGCTGCTCCTTCGGCTCCTGGCCGCGCCGCTCCTGGTTCTCGTCCTGCTCCCCGTCCGGCTCCGCGCCCTGCTCGTCCGCCGCCTCCTCATCTCGCTCATCCGCCGGCTCCGCGCCCGGCTCGTCCGCCGGCTCCGCGCCCTGCTCAGAGCCCGGCTCCTCGCCCGGCTCCGCGCCCGGCTCGGCGCCCGGCTCCTCGCCCTGCTTGGGGACCTGCTCGGGGACCTGCTCAGGGACCTGTTCCTCGCCGTCCTGAGGCGCCACGTCCGGCTTCGCGTCCGGGATCGGGTCCGGAGTCGGGTCCGAGGTCGCGTCCGGGGTCACGTCCGGAATCGGCTCTGAGGTCGGATCTGCGGCCGGGGCCGGGGTCAGGGGTGGGGTGGGCTCCACGACCACGGCAGAGGCTGGGGCGCTGGGCGGCTGCTCAGGCGCCTCCTCTGGGCCGTCGGGGGACTCGCCGGCCAGCGGCCCGGGACGCGGGATGACAGCCACGGCCACCGGGGGAGGCCGGGAGCCCAGCACCAGGCGGCAGCGCCCCACCTGCACCGTCTCGCGGTAGAAGGCGGGCACAGACTCGCCGTCCACCTCCATCCACTGCAGACGGCCGGGACCCCTGAGAGGCACGTCCTGCTGGAAGTTGAAGTCCCAGCGGTTCTGGTCCTCGGCGTTCAGCTCGGCCAGGCGCATCCTCAGCTCGCGGCCCAGCTCCTCGTGGTCCACAGGCCCGAAGAGGCTGCGGCAGGCGCTGCTGCGCGCAATCACTGGGAAGGTATCGCTGGAGGCCAAGCGTTCCATCGCTGTTCTGCTGCGGAGGTACACGTCGGACATGCCCATGGTCGAAGGCTGTGCAAACGCGGGCGGCGAAAAAGAAGGGAGCGGGAGGAGAAGGAAGAGGGGAGAGGAGGAGGGCGGAGGCTGGGCGTGGGCGAGACCCCTTGCACAGCCCGCGTCCGACTATGCCTAGGGACGCGGCGGCTACCTGGCTGGTTGGTGGTGGACGGCTCCCGCGTCTTGATCGCTTGTCCTGTCCAGCTTGGGCCGCGCCCCCTCGGAGCTTGCCTGCCTGTTCGCTTGCTCTCAGTCGGGCCTAGCCGGCACCCCTCGAGCACAGAGCTCTCGGCCTGTGGAACGCCCAGCCCGCTGCGCCCCTTTATACGCGCTGGCCCCACCCCCGCGCGCGCGGGCCTCCTCGCGATTAGCATAATGTAGTATTTTCAGTTTCAACAACACCGCGGCCATTGGCGGACTCCCCCAGCCCCGCCCACAGAGGCCCGGCCCCACCCTGCGCTCATTGGCCGCTCGCACACACCCCCGAGGCCGGGCGGGGCGGGCGACGGGCGGGCGCTGATTGGCGGCCTGGCGGCGAGCGGGCTGCGCGGGACAAGGGGAGGGGCTCGAGTTAAAGAGCTCTGCGGGCGGTAACGTGACACCGCGACGCCCCTCCCCCTCGCCCCATCCCCCCCCGCCCCCCGCGGGCTCCTTTGTCTGCAGGCGGGGGCTTGCGCGGCCGCGACGCGCGCGCCCCCTCGGACCCTGGAACCGGGCACGGCCTCTCCGCGACGCCGACGTCGGTGCAGGTCCCTCAGCCCCCGTGGCCCGCGCTAGCGCTAGGGCTGCGCCAACTGATGGGGCTTTGACCCACCACTACCAGCTGGGTCCTAGCCCTGGCAGGACCATGCCTGGAGCCGCCCTCCGCTCCCAGGCCGAAGTCCCTGCCATCGAGGCGGCAGCACACCTGCTGGCCCTAACTAAGGGCCTGTAGCAGGGAGCTAGAGACAGGGGTCGGCTCCGTTCTTTTTCCCCCGAGGGACGGTACCGTGGAGATCTTAAGGGCCTGAACCCAGGGTCTGGAGCCTCATCTATGGGCCCACAGACCCAGGAAATGAGACACAGGCTGAGCCCATCCGGGCCATCACGACACTGATAGATGCCTAGGACCTTAGGTTTGGGTCAGGCTACATCCGGCCCCCAGTTCTGCTCACCCGGGTTGGCAGTGGTTGTGCTGGAAAAGAGGGAAAGGCCCACCTCTCCTCCACAGCAGTGCCTCTTGGTGGGTCCCTGGATACCCACACAGACACCCCCCCCCCCAACAACCGCCGCCGCCAAAAGGGGACCATTATTTAGGGCAGGGAGTCCAGAAGGTGATTCAGGCATGTGCCAGCAGCAGCAGGGCCCCCTTGTCCCTTGTCCCCTGTCCCCGTCCCCCACTCTCTAACCAGGACTTCCTTGAATGGCCCTGCAGAGCCCCACGCTCTCAGCTCCCAGCAGAGATGCCTCCGAGAATTCTGAGACAAAATCCTATTTGCAGGGTTAGGTAGGCCAGACCAACCAGAGGGTCAAGCGGTGATAACAGGTCTTTAGGCGCTGAAGCCAGGAGTCAGTCAGAACAGGTCGTCCCAGAACAGGTAAGAGGTTTAGAAGCTGCTCCGGCCAGCGCCTGAGACCCGTAAGGATTTATTTTTTTCTCAGTACACCATATTACAAATCTCATGGACATCGGCACATCACAGTATTTTTCTTGAAGAAAAACTAATGAAGGCCTCCAAGGGGCCCCCTGAGACACACACACACACACACACACACACACACACACACACACACACAAAAGGCTAAAATCAACAAGTCCAGGGTCAGAAAGAGGCAGAGCTTTGTTCTGTCTCTGTGTGGAGGCCGCACGGGCCTCCCCAGAGACCCTGGGCATGGGACCACGCCTGTTAGTCATCACCTGCCCCTAGGGTCTTCCCAACAGTCCAAATGCCCAGGCTGCAGCTGGCAAGGATGGCAAGGATGGAGAAGGCCCACTCTGACCACAACCTAGGCCAAAAGCTGCTGAGAGGACGGAACACACTCCCTGGGGTGCGGAGTTACCGTGTCCCGTTTGTTGGGAGAAGCAGTACAGGTACCCAGATGAGCTGAGCTGCAGGCTGCCTCACTGGGCATCGGCCTGGCTAGTACACCCCTACCCCAGGTTGCCTTTATTGCTTGCTTTCTACCTTTCTATTTGCCAGCGGATTTGTCTGCCTCTACCCGGGGGCACGCCACCCGTCTGCAAGTCTGGAACAGGTGAAATTCCACCAAGGACGGCATCAACAGGCCTGTTAAGCACACTGGTTCCGGGAACAGGGTTGAGTCCCGCACCTAGCCCTCCAACCCAAGGGACCCGTAGGTAAGTAGACGTCTGTCTGGCTACCAGAATCGCCTTCTGTTTCTGTCGCTAAAAATACACCCAGAGGAAGGAAAAGAAAAAGAACGTTTTTACTGTGTTGCTGCGGAGAGCTGGTGGGTTGGAACACTGGCGGGGTCTGGTGCCGGACTCACCGAGGGACTAGTTTCCTGGGCTTCCTTGGACCTGGAGAGGAGAGTGATGTTTCTCTCCTGCAATCCTCACCCATACCCTTGGGCAGGGGGCGCACTCCGCCTCTTGCCTGTCCTGAAACACGTGAGAAGACCACCCATCCAAGTCCAAAGACCAGTTTCGGCCACAGACCGTTGGCAAAATTTCCATGCGCACCCAACTGCACTGTGACCGTAGGAGCTGTTTTTCTGTGTTACCCACCCTGCCGGCCAGACGGGGAACCGAGGGCCTTGGCAAGGCTCAGGCACGGCCATTCTGCCAGTGATTGGAGTAGGAGATAAATTTTGAAGAGCTAGGGTGACTCAGTGGTAAGGCATTTAAGAAGTATGTACGCTGGCTCTGGGTTCCATCCCCAGCACGAAAAAATGAATGAATGGATGAGTGAACGAACGAACGAATAAATAAATAATAAATAAGTAGCTTTTGTGTCCTTCATCACTAAAAGTTTGGAGCTGACTCTAGGCTACAGTGTGGCTAGCGGCTGCAGCTGGAACTCCAGCAGGCAGGCGGACGCCGTAGCGGCCTATTCCGTAGACGAATCGGGCTGGCTGTATTAAAACATTGCTGCGGCAGGTCCTAGGTGACGAAGGCCAGCTTAGCCCACACTCTCCAGCACCTCGAATCGACTCCGAGATTTGATGAGTGAATTGTAAGGCCGGAAGGATCTTGGCCCCAACCCTCCTGCAGTTGAATTTTTAGAGGAGACCGGAGCAGCTAAGCCAGCTCAGTTTCCCCGGACCGTCCCAGGAACGCACTCCCAGCAATCCGCATAGCTGCTCAGCTGCGGGGCGCCCCCGAGGAAGCCCGGGGCCGTGCTCAGGGTCTCCCAACCCCTCCGGAGCAGTCGGAGTGCAGGCCTGTCCTTGGCTTCATGCTGCCCCCTGGTGGCCGACTTAGGCGGCACCGGTTTCCTAGCTACTCCTTGCCTCCCTTTCCTGCCTGCGTGGATAGCTCCCCTGGTCAGACACATCCCTGACCCAGAGCCCCAGGTTCTGGGGCCCTCCCGGGGTAACCAGCGTAGGGCTGAAACTTGTCCCCCTCTGGCCCTTAGTCAAACCCGCCCGAAGCTGCCTTCTCAGCTTCTGAGACCCTGAGCTGTCATATCAGATAAATTAAGGCCTTGGAGAATTTTCCATGAAGCCATGTCACCCATCCATCAAGGTGGAGAGTGCAGGCCCAGGGTCAGGACTAGAGGGAGAAGGCCGAAGGGCTGGGTGACACACTTTTTCTGCTTCTGGAGAGTCCTGGAGGGCCGTGGACAGAGAGCAGTGCTCCCATAATCCTTTTGGGGTCTCTTCATGGGGCTGGGAGGTGCAGCTGCCTGCTTCCTTGAAAATAATGCACCTTCCAATAAGCCGAAAGCGTCTCCATCTTGTGCCTACCCCAGGTTCCGACCTGTATCTTCTTCGGGCTCCCTTCCTCCTTTAGTCCAACACCCTAGAGAGATAGGACAGGGCAAAGACAAAGACTCAGAGAGGTTCGCCATCCTGCCCGAGATCACTCAGCAGTCAGGAGCAACGGCCGCTGCCCCGGTCTCGATCTTAACGAACGCTTGGGCCAAGCCCTGGACGGAGTCCGGCCCTGTCTGCGATGGCGGGAGCCCCTGGAATGTTCCCTCCACGGTCCCCCAAGCCTCCAAAGTCCTGCCGCCTTGGTTGGGCCGGAGGCTCCGAGGGGTGTGCGCGGTTTCAGAACCCCGCCGCCCCGGCGGTGAGCAGCGCCCGGCGCGCGCTTGGCGGGGCCCCAGGCAGGCGCAGCGCGAACGCCCTCCCGCACCAGTTCCCGCGCTCGGCTCGCCCCGCCTCCGGGACGGGCTGTTCCTGGGGCCGCTGCCAGACACGTCCTCCGCAGGTGCCGGCCTCTCTCCGGTGACGCGGCTACATGCGGCCCGGGCTCCGATTACAGGGCCTGCCTTGTACTCGGGGTCCGGGCCGGGGGTCCTCGCTCCCCAGGAATGGTTGGGAGGGGCAGGGCAGGCCGCGCAGAGGGAGACCGCGAACAAGGAACAGCCGCGGGCGGGAGCCGCCCCCAGACACGTGCGGCGGCCGCCTCGCCGCCGCCGCGGTTTGGAGGCAGGCGGGGAGCCCAACTGCATGGCTTGACTGGACTCAGGACCCAGTGTTTTAGAAGTCCAGGACCACTGGGTACCCCAGGATCCTGATGTCCAGTGTAGGGGATGAGGAGATCTAACGGGCTGGTGGGAAGAGAAGTCCAACCCTGGGCCAGATCCAAACCCCCGGCCTGCCCTCTTTCCACAGACCATGTGCAACCCTGGCTCCCAGGCCCAGCGGCCCACTTTACCAAGGAAATAACGTAGATCTTGTGCCCCTGGATTCTTCCCCCCCCACACACACACACACCCTTTCTTGTTGGTGCTAGCAGGACTCACAATCAGAAACTTCTGCCCACGGCCCACGAGGTGCACCCAAGACCCCATGGCCGTCCCTCTAAGACGCCTGCCTACCTTTGACCTAGCTTCCATTAACTACAGTGTCAGAGAGTCCAGGACCTGCTGAAGAGGCTAGGGGCTAATAAGGCCTCCCAGAGAAGAAGGTTCTCACACTCACCACACACACACACACACACACACACACACACACACACACACACAGACCACCAGACAACTTTAGGGGTAAAGGGGGTTGCCAAGAGATACTTTTATTTTATTTTATTTTATTTTATTTTATTTTATTTTATTTTATTTTATTTTATTTTATTTTATTTACCTTATTTTGAGACACGGTCTTCCGGCGGACCAGGCCAGCTTCAAACTCAAAATGTAGCAAGGACGACCTTGTAGTTCTTCCCCCCTTCCCCCTACCTCCTAAGTGCCGGGATTTCAGGTCCGCACTGTAAGCCTGGTTTATGTAGTTCTGGGGATGTGAGTGCCAGGCAAGCGCTCTAACACCGTGTCCCCAGACCACAAGACTGTTAGACAGTAGCTGAGCCTCCACTCCGTGTGACCTCACTCAAGCCAGTAACATCCCTGTGGAGGAACCAAGGCCAGAGAGATGGGCTGACTGCTCAGGAGACCACCATAAATGGAACAGGCTCACCTGAGCCCTCTCTGGTCAGGGCAAGGGGCCTTCTTCTCGCCCTTCATTCACCTAACTCCTACTATTCCCTTACACCCAGCCCTCCCTGGGCTGCATTTCAAAGAAAGCAGTTATTCAGGCTGGATGTTGGAGCGACAGTGCCTGGGACAGCTCCCAAGGTGGCAGTTTATCTTCACAGTGTCTCCTCCAGGACCCCATGGTAGGGTTCTTCCCTAGCTGGGTTGCTCGGAGGCCGCCGCAAGAATGGCAATGACAAACTTCAGCAAAGAGGCCTCCAGCCGCCTGAAGACCAAGGCTAACGTCCTGCTTCCCCCTGGTGTTCAAAGACCACATTACAACCCCACCCCAGCCGGCAGTGTGGAAGCTGGGCCTTGAAGCCGGCAACTGTGCTTCACACTGAAGGTGACTGGGCAGGGTCTTGCTGTTCCCAGGCTGCATGCCCTCAAATGACGATTTTTCCAAGGGTAGCCAGTTAGAACTGTTAAAATTCAAAGCCTCAGTCCTTCGGGAGCCAGGGCCATGACTCACACCTCAGCCAAACTGGCCCCTTAGCCGGTGAACCTGACCTATCCTGGGAAGCTAGTAAAATAGTAGGACAAAGGAAAGGAAGCTGTTGCAGGGGCAAAGGGCCTGCTCTAAAGACTAAGGTGCCCTGTGTGGTGGCACAACCCTTTAAGTCCAGCCCTCGGGAGGCAGAGGCAGACAGATTTCTGTGAGTTCAAGGCCAGCCTGGTCTATATAGTGAGTTCTGAGACCCTGTCTCAGAAAGAAAGAGAGAAAGAGAGAGAGAGAGAGAGAGAGAGAGAGAGAGAGAGAGAGGAAGGAAGAAAAGGACTAAGACAAGCTGGAAAAGAGGAAGAGAGTAAGACCCAAGGAAAATGGGGTCTTTCTTCCACCATTCCTAGCTTCTCTCACCCCCACCCCTCCCACCCTCCGCCCTCCTTTCTAGCCCCACCTGCTCTCTCACCATTCCCCCAGGCCTAGCCTGCCTCCAGTGTCTTCTGCCTTGTTTCCCTCCCCTGAATTTGCAGCACAAAGCCTCAGGCCTTAGAGCTCCAAATCCAGCTGGGCTGTGCTGAGACCTGTCCCCTAGCTCTCCCTTCTTGGGCCCGGGTGACCATGTGCATGGCTATGTGCGTGCTTTAAGGTACAAGGCACCACGGTGAAGGGTTAGCAGCCCTCAGGACACACCGGCCTCACAGTCAGAGGCTCTTGACAGGAGGGAGGCTGGGGACAGAACTCCCAGTCTGTGAGCACCCCAGCCTTCTCAGCTGGTTGTGGCAGAGAATGAGAGGGTGGGTGGGTGCTGAAGAGGCCACTGGAGCCAAGCAGGGAGGGCCTGAGGTCCCATCCCTGAAGGCTGTCAGAAGTACCCCCACCACACTCGCTCTGTGGGTAGGGGGTGGGGGGGGACCCAAGTGCAGGTGAAGGGGCAGGCAGAGGTGCCCTCGTGCACTGTATGACTCTCTCTCTGTGCCTCTGCTTTCTCATTTGTGAGGCTCCTGTGGAGGTTTGAGGACCACATAAGTGGCATGTGAACTGTCAAAACAAGCCTCCCCTTGAGGGTGCCCCACTACCTCCTTCCCTTGGTCGCCCCTAACAACGCGGAGAGGAACGCGCAGACCCTTCCAGGTGACCCCCTCCCACTGCGCCGCAAAGAAAACTGGACATTTCCTTTGATCCCCGGGCTGGGGGGATGGTGCTAAGGGGGACTCAGACAGCAACAAAAGCACTTGCACCGATAGTCACGTGGGGTCCCCTAATCCGCAGCCTAATTACCAGCTCTGACAACACAACCCCTCCCCCAGCAAGTCCGAAAGCCTCTGCACACACTTGCAAACACTCAGCACCTCTGGATGCTGATCCGGTGCGTCTGAGGGTTCCCGTGCTATGGTCTCTGTGCCAACAACTGCTTTCAATCCTCAATCCTCGGGAGAGTCTATGGGACAGAGAGCGGGGTTGACCTCCACAATCCATACGGGGAAAGCGAGGCTGGAGAGGACAAGAGCCTGATCTAAACCTGGCCAATCATTACTGTTGACCACAGAGGCCGCTGTGAACGCTCAACACTACTAACGTGCAACAGTTCAACCCAGGGAATGGTCAGTGAAGACTGAAAGTCTTTCTGACTTTTGGTCTTTCAGACATTTATTTTGGATTGGATTTTGTTTGTTTGTTTTGTTTTGTTTTGTTTTGTTTTGTTTTGTTTTGTTCTGACATGATCTCCTGTAAAGCCAAGACTGGTCTCTAACTCACAACTCTATCTTAGCGTCCTGAGTGCTGAGACTGAAGACAACACCACCAAGCCCCTGTTTCCACCAGGTCAGCGCTGAGCATTAGCTACACCAGGGCCCCCAAAGAGGACATGGAGGGTCTCCCCCTGGGCCTGACTGTCCCAAGCCAATGTTCTTCCCTGCCTGTTAAACCAGGGCACTGATGAGTTGGCACTTACTCTGGAACAAGTATGCCTAGAAGCTGAGCCCTCTGTGGGGAGGGGGGCTTCCAAGCAGGTGGGCAGGGAGAGAAAAAAGCCTCCAGTCAAGGCCCAGCAAGACCAGAGACAGAAGAGATTTCAAGGTGTTAACCTGTGTCACACCCAGAGGTGGAAGGGATCTGCAGGCAGCTGGATAAGAGATAGACCCACCCAGAGATGCCATGTATGACCGTGGCAGGCAGAATCCAGGATAGAAACCATGGCGAGGCTCTAATAGGCTGCCTTGGCTTAGCAAATTTGTTGCAAAACCAGTGGAAATAGAAAGACTCTGGTCTTCACTAACCATTCCCTGGGTTGAACAGTGCTACCTGAGGCCCTAGGGTCAGGGCAGAAGGGGTTTCAGAAACTCACCCAGCTGGCCAACTGTGGTGATGTACACCTTTAATCCCAGCACCCCAGAGGCAGAGGCAGCTCTCTGTGAGTTCAAGGCCAGCCTGGTCTACATAGTGAGATCCAGGGCAGCCAGGGTCTCATGGTGAGATCCTGTCTCAAAGATGAGAGGGGGGAGGGGAGGGGAAAAAAACAAAAGCACTGAAAACTGCTCTTCGCACCTGTAATTCCAACACTCAGGAGGCAGGGGCAGGAGGCAGCTTTGACTAGGCTACAGAGTGAGGCCCTGATTCAAAAAAATAAAATACAAGGGCTGGAGAGAAGGATCAGTGGTTAAAAGCACACACTGCCCTTCAGGACTTGAGTTTGGCTCCCCGCACCCACATCATGCTACTCACACCTGTCTCTAACCCAAAAGCCAATGTCCCTGGCCTGTGCAGGGAGCTGCACACATGAACACGTACTCTCACGTGCACAAGCACACACAAACACAGACGCAGGCATCCATAATTTAAAATAATAGAATAAATATTTTAAATATATACAAAAAAACAAGC